GTATACTCCAATTATATACAGATACAGTACCATTTTGGTACTTAAGTCCAGTACTTAAGCAGCTCTACCTCATTACTGAACATCTCATTAAATTAATCCAAAATATGTAGGTAAATGTAAAAGTAGAGAAAAAATGTATACTCCAATTATATACAGATACAGTACCATTTTGGTACTTAAGTCCAGTACTTAAGCAGCTCTACCTCATTACTGAACATCTCATTAAATTAATCCAAAATATGTAGGTAAATGTAAAAGTAGAGAAAAAATGTATACTCCAATTATATACAGATACAGTACCATTTTGGTACTTAAGTACAGTACTTAAGCAGCTCTACCTCATTACTGAACATCTCATTAAATTAATCCAAAATATGTAGGTAAATGTAAAAGTAGAGAAAAAATGTATACTCCAATTATATACAGATACTGCATTTTGGTACTGAACATCTCTCTGTCGTTCCCATAGCAGCAGCATCGCCGAGGGCGACAGCGAGGACGAGGAGGAGGACGGCGACCTCATCCTGGAGAGCGACCTCCCGCCGGCCTACAGCTGCCACCCGCCCCCGGGCGCCGACAGAGACTCGCCCACCAGGGGGCGCCACCTCCTCCCGCAGAGCCTGTCCATGCCCAGCAGCATGGCGGCCGCCGCCCACAACGGAAGCCCCGCCCACAACAGAAGCCCCGCCCACGCCGCCATTGGTGGCAGCAGCAGCCAGGAGAACATGCGGGAGGACGGCAACACCATCACGCTGTGAATGCCGTCTCCATGGCAACGCAGACGCCTCCACGATGTCAGGATTGCCAGGAAAGGACGAGGGCCCCGGACGCCATACCGCCCGCTTCCTGTCGCCGGCTTTCGGTGTACAGACGTTACTATGACTGCCTTTTTACCTGACAGCACCATGTGGCTCGAGTAATGTATTAAGATTCGTCAATAGGAGGAAAAGGCGAATGGAACGATGTCATTTCTCTGCTGCCGTCAAGCTCAGATCGACCCTTTTACTGACTTGCGAAGACCAAAGGTTGGACTATTAACTGCATTTTGGCCCCGTGTGCTAAATAAAGCCAGACAGTGTACAATCAGTAGAATCCATCCACTCATCTATTGAATCTCTCTAGTCATTGAATCCATCTGATAGGGGGTGGGGGGGGATAAAGGTCACCGGTCCATTGGAGGACCACACAGAAAAGAAAAAAAAAGAGTCAAACAGCCCTGGAAAGTCGGCAGAATGTGAAACGGGGCCAAACGGGGTATGGTTGTCCAGCAGGTGTTTCTACAGGAAGGGGTCCAATCCCAGATCTACCTCTGCCCTCACTTTGATGTCCAATTAACAGAATATGAAACAGTTTGACAAAACGCAGCGTAAAAAAATGTCATCAGAAGATAAACTTTATCTCAAATTAAGTGATTGTGAATAGCCTTTATTCAGACAGAGTCAGTCATTTCTGCTGCCGGTACCTGTAAAGTCAAGCTCAGATCGACCCTTTTACTGACTTCTGAAGACCAAAGGTTGGACTATTAACTGCATTTTGGCCCGTGTGCTAAATAAAGCCAGACAGTGTACAATCAGTAGAATCAATCCACTCATCTATTGAATCTCTCTACTCATTGAATCCATCTGAGAGGGGTTGGGGGGGGGCTGCTTTGGGAAGGTCACCGGTCCATTGGAGGGCCAAAAAGAAAGAAAAAAAATGAGTAAAACAGCCCTGGAAAGTCGTCAGAATGTGAAACGGGGACGAACGGGGTATGGTTGTCCAGCAGGTGTTTCCACAGAGGAACATGGAGGGGTCCAATCCCAGATCTACCTCTGCCTCCACTTTGATGTCCGAGTAACAGAATATGAAAGTTTGACAAAACGCAGCGTAAAAAAATTATATCCGAAGATAAACTTTAACTCAAATTAAGTGACGGTGAATAGCCTTTATTCAGACAGTGTCAGTCATTTTTTGCTGCCGGTACCTGTAAGGTCAAGCTCAGATCGACCCTTTTACTGACTTGCGAAGACCAAAGGTTGGACTATTAACTGCATTTTGGCCCGTGTGCTAAATAAAGGCAGACAGTGTACAATCAGTTGAATACATCCACTCATCTATTCTCTCTACCCATTGAATCCATCTGAGAGGGGGGGGGGCTGCTTTGGGAAGCGGTGGGTTAAAGGTCACCTGTCCATTGGAGGGCCACACAGAAAAGAAAAAAAAAGATAAAAGATAAACTTTAACTCAAATGAACTCATTGGCTGCCAAAGACGTCTATAGACGTCTTTTATGTTTTTCAACGAGAGTGGCTGGAGGACGATCTGCTAAAGCTTGTCCGTACATATCGGCTTCTAGACAGAGTATGTAGTAACAAATTGACCCTCTAGGGGGCAGTGCCACTTTTGATGGGAGATGAGCATAGACTGTAGGCAAATAAGAAAAAGGTAACGGTTCGCTATGAGAGAACATGTCGCCGGTGAGACGCAAGTCCAGGAAGAACGGAATAAGGTAGAAACACTTTTTTTTTCCTGATGAAAGAAAAGAGTCTACTCTTTCTTTTGGTGTGTTCGGTGTTTACATAGTCATAGCACAAACTATTCTGTGGCTCTTGAAAAATCAGTCAAAATGCTAAAAAAAAATCTGGCAGTATGGGACTCTCTGTTCTGAAAATGGCTGGCAGTCAATGAGTTAAGTAGCGGTGAATAGCCTTTATTCAGACAGCGTCAGTCCACTGCCAATGCAAAAAGGGGCTAAAAGTATGGAGGCTTTACACCGACTCCCACAGTGTTCTGCACCGTCTTCTGTTTCATGTTCCACCAACACACTGTCATCTGTCAGAGGGAGAATATGTCACACAGTAATCACACATACGTTTGGCACGGCCCACAGTGGGCAGAGGGTCCAAAACTGGCTATTTACTAATGTAAATGTCTTTAAATCCACATGAACTTGAATTCAACAGACTGTAGTAAACAGATGAATGGAGGCAGAAGATGTCTTCCAGTCATCAACGCTCACATTCAGCCACACACAGGAGCTCTATCTATCTATCTATCTATCTATCTATCTATCTATCTATCTATCT